GTGTGTGTATACATGTGTTTGCTCGTGCATGTTTGTGTATTCATTTGGATGAGGGTGTGTGTATGAGTATGTATGTGTGAGTATGCGTGTGTGTATGTTTGTCTGTCTGTGAATCTGTGTGTATGTGTGTATGTGTGTATGTGTGTGTGTGTGTGTGTCTGTCTGTCTGTCTGTCTGTCTGTCTGTCTGTGTGTATTCCTGAATGCGGAGTGGTTGGGGCGGGCGGGGGGAGTTATCTTTATTGCTCCAATTAAGGTCTCGAGTCAACTTTTATCTGTGTTATTTAAGCTTTGAGATCCCCGGAGAGGTTGGGAAAAGAGGGGGGGTGCAGTTCCGAATATATTTATAACTAATTCCAACCAATACTTTAATTGGTACCTAATGAGCTGAAGTATGACAGTCAACACCTAGATCTAGATCTAGATCTATGTTTTCTGTATTTTGGTTGCTTTTCAGGGGGTTACTTCACAAATATAGGAGTGATAAACTTGTACGGCAGTGTACACTCTCTGATAACAACCACAAGAAGCGATTCTTCTTGAAATTCTCGAATAAATTCTTAGCCCACATATACCGGATGTGGAAGACAACGTTTCGCCTGCTTTGGCCTAGTGTAGGATCTCGCCGTCGCCATTTTGAAAAGTGACATAGGAGCCTTATATCAAGTGTCGGATGGGGGAGGGTCGACGCCCGACTCGTCGCCTGAAAACAAACGCGAAATGTTTTTGAGGCGACTAGTCGGGCACTATCGGCTTGTGCCATGATAGTTGCTTTGCGCCCTCAATCTGACAAGCAAACCGACCCGACCCGACCCAACCCGATCCGATCCGATCCGATCCAATCCAAATGAGCCATTACACTGAGCAATCGGTTTGCTCTCAACGGTTCATTCACACGCTCTTAACGGTTCATTCACACGCTCTTAACTATGTCCATTCCAGAGATAATACAAAGAAATAGACCAGTTATGTGATCCCTGGCGAAATATACACCCGAACAAACGGACACCTTGTGTAGTATGAACACAGACAGACAGACAGACAGACAGACAGACAGACAGACAGACAGACAGACAGACAGACAGACAGACAGACAGACAGACGGACGGACGGACGGACGGACGGACGGACGGACGGACGGACGGACGGACGGACGGACGGACGGACGGACGGACGGACGGACGGACGGACGGACGGACGAATGCAGGTCTTTAGTCTGAATACGCACTTTACTGACACAACTCGATAGCCGTTGTTTTCACCTGCCTGTCTTGTGATTCTGTTTCTCTTTCTAGAAGCACCTGCATCAGCTGCATAACTGCTGAAATGGGCTCCAAGAAAAAGGGTCGAAAGAAGCGTCACCATAAAAAGGTGACCACGCGACATGCTCCTGTAGAAGAACCTGCCTCTGAGAACACTTGTTTAAGAAGAGCGAGTTCTGGAGGAGCTAGTTATGTGGTTGTTAATGATGACAGCTCATCCAGCTCATCCGGCAAAATGACGGAGTGTTGGGCGGAAAGTGAAACAAAGAGAAAAGACTCAGGCACGGAATGTTCGAGAGAAAATGAGTGCGTCGACTTTCCAGAAGAAATAGCCAATAATGAAGCAAACAGTGGAACAATGAGATATGATTTAGGAGCAGAATGTTCAATAGAAAATGAATTGGTCGACATTCTAAAAGAAATTGCCACGAAAAAAGTAACAAGTGGAACAATGAAAAATGATTCAGGAGCAGAATGTTCGAGAGGAAATGAGTTGGTCGACTTTCCAGAAGAAATGGCCAATAATGAAGCAAACAGTGGAAGAATGAGAGATGATTTAGGAGCAGAATGTTCAATAGAAAATGAATGGGTCGACATTCTAAAAGAAATTGCCACGAAAAAAGCAAACAGTGGAACAATGAAAAATGATTCAGGAGCAGAATGTTGGAGAGAAAATGAGTGCATCGACTTTCTCAAAGACATGACCGAGAATGAAGTATACAGTGAAACAACGAAAAAAGATTCAAGAGCAGAATTTTCGGGAGAAAAAGAAAGTGTCGACTTTGCCGCAAATATTATGACCGAGGAAGGGGTAAATAATGAAACGCTGAGAAAAGATTCAGGTGCAGAATGCTCGAGAGCAAATGAGTGTGTGGAGTCTCTTGAAGAATTGGCCGAGTACGAGGTAACTAGTGAAACACCGCGAAAAGGTTCAGGCCTAGAAAGTTCGAGAGAAAACACCAAAATTACTTATTCCGATGTTTATGGTGAAGACAGATATGACGAAGAAGAGGAGATAGAAAGAAAGTTTGGAAAAACTGTTTACCGCAAAAGTGAAATCGATCACCGTAAAGATGAGGTAGATATTATGGCCTCTCCATGTCTTTCTCCACCATTCGGGGACAGGAGATGGGTACAACACAAGAGGTGGGCTCCAAGAAAGGTCATCACTGCTACAAGGGGTCCAGGCGTTCAGGAAGATCTCGCTGTCCTTGGCGCCAAACTCGACGCGCTCCACTTCGCAAGAGAAAGAAGAGAACGACAAAAACGAATAGTTGTAGGGAAAAGGCAGGAGAATGAGAGGAAGACCGACACAGCGGGCGGACCTGTAGGGGCAGAAGAAGGAGGAGACAGTTTGGACGAGCAGCCGATTGACATGCGAAAAGGTCATTACGTGGACGAAGGAAGGAAAGGAAACAAAGGGAAAGAATTCAAACGGGAAGAAAAGAAAAGAAAACAAACAAAAATGGTTGAATTCACGGGGGAAGAAATCACAAACAAAGTCTGCGTGTGTTGTGGGAAAAGAGGTGTGATGCTCCCCTGTTCCCACTGTCTATGGGCGGGCTACTGCGGACAACGCTGCCAGCAGCAGGACCACCAGGATCATGAGAAAAGTTGCAGTAAGTTTTTAGTTCTATTTTAGTTCTTAGTAGAGTTTTACGGCACCTGCAACACGGTAAGGTCATAGAAGTGCTGAAAATTAGAGGTGTTACTAGGGAGTAACTGACACAGAATAAGGAGGAAGAGGACAGATAAGGGCAATAAATAGTTCTAATTTAGCTTTACGTCTCTGTTTTAAAATGTAAAACATTTGAGTTGTTCCAGTTTCTGTTCAGTTTCATATGAGTTATTTAATATGCAAGATCCCCAATTTAACATCTTTGCTACTTCAACGTCTCAGGTTTGAGTCTGAGTTTGAGTAAAGAGAAGCATATCGTCATATTTAATTGGTCGCTTTTAAGAACAAGGAGACTATCCTTATTTGAGAAAATTGAAGGTAGATATAGGTAGGGCAATGTCCACTTTTAGTGGAGGTCAAAGTTTCTGGAAACCCCCGAAATCTGGGTTAGAAGCCCGCTTGTCCTTAAAAGCGACCAATTGTCATCGAGGGATGAGAAAAAGTAAGAGTAAGACAAAGAGTCAGAAAGAGCATAGGGAAAGTTAAGAAGCAGGACCTACGAATGGCGCCTTCAACCACCTGTTTGTCTCATGTGCTCAGAGTGAAAGACTACGGTACACGATAACAGCTAGAGTAGGTTCTTGTAATTTTGATTTGTACATAACTATTCTTCCTGTTGTCAGCTAGCAAATAAAGTTATCAGCTATGGCATTCAAAAAGACAGATCGTTGGACAATGAAATTTATAGACTGATACTTAGCAATAAATGATAAGTTATGCGTCTTTCATCTAAATAATACAATAATTGATAATTTGTGAGATTTTCATCGAAATTTTAATGTTATAGTCGAAGGGTGATATGACGTCACAAAAACTATTGCCTTGGCTAACTTGACTCCCAACCCAGCCAGTTCCGCTATAGAACTGCACAACGGTGTAGACACAA